AGGACACCCAAAGACTCAGTCCAGGAACAGCCCCTGATCACAACACTGTGCTGGCCTCGGGCCCAGCGTGTGCAGCGTCCCTGTGGATGGTTCTCTGCCAGGGCTTCCTCTCTCAGCCCTTGGGGGCTGGTTATAACCTGTCACTCAATATTTAGTATTGTTGAACCCTTTGTATGGCCCCGCTGGTCCACATCTGACGGCCTCTTTTAAGAGCTACACCTGCAAGTCACGAATGCCTGGAGAAGCAGACTGAAGGGCGAGTCACGAGCTCTGGAGGTTGGGGATAAATCTTGGCTCTCATAATCCTTGCTGTGTGGCCTTAAGAGAGTTGCTGGACCTCTCAGAGTCTCAGTTTCCTTGTGTGCAAATGGGAGCAGGGACCTCACAGGTTGGAGAGAGGCTTAAACAGAGGCTACGCTAAAAGCATCTGGCACATGGTAGGTGTTCAAACAATGTCAGTTCTTTTCTGCTTTTCTGCTTGCTTTCAATACCATCTAGGCCTTTTCCTTTGGATGAAGGAGGAGAAGGGACTCCAAGCTCGGAGATCAGCTCATTCATTTTCAGCGGTGTTCACAGAGTGCCTACCCTGCCAGGTGCCAGGCCGGCAGTCAGGAAGGTGAAGACTGTGGCCCTTCTGGTGCTGCCGGGAGGGCCCAGGCCCTGGAGTCAGAACTGAGTCCCCATCCCAGCCCTGCGGCCTAAAACTGTGCTTCCCTGGGCATGTGATGCCATCTGTCTGTGGCTCAGTTTAGACAACTCTAGAATGGGAGCAGCAGAGTATCTCATAGGGTTCCTGGAGGAACAAAGGAAAAGACCTCAGTGAGAGGCTTGAGGAGCAGGGAAATGGGACAAGGGTCATGCCATTGTAAAATCTATTTAGCCTGTGAAAAAGGCCCATCATATTCTTTAACTTAATCTGTATTCTGTTTTTCCTCTTCTTCCGCCCCTTAATCAATTAAGCACCTTTGTAAGCAGGACGGACGAGAGATGGACCTCTGAAGTGTAAATGAACCCATGTGAATAAAGAATGTTGAGATCCAGATCAACACGGTCACCTAAATAACCCTTTTCTTAAGATAAAATTTCAAAGGAATTATGAATCACCAGTATCATCATGCCGTATGCCAGCCCCTACCCAAATGACCCTATAAAGCCCCAAACCCTAAACCCTTAAGCATGCCTCCTCTCTAAGGGAGCCCACACTTCCATCTGCGTGTGTACTGTCTTATATCAAACAAACTTCTCTGTTGCATATGCCAATTGCACTTGTCTCTGAACTCTTCTCCGCGATAAAGGCAAGAACTCTCCAACCTCCACCTCTGATGGTAAATGTCTCTGTCACTTTGCTACTTCATTCAGCTTTCTAAGTCTTAACACAATCCTTTTTTCTCTTCCTGTTTTATTTCAGACCCCTAGGGACATGGAAGTTCTTGGAACATAAACTCACTCCATCCAGGGCTCCATGGCTCCACCAAATCCTGGGGTGGCAGGGATATAATTCCCATGCCATGCAGGTCAAGCGGACACTGGATGCCAGGTAACTGGCTTTAGGAGTTAGCAGAGGATCTGCCCTATACTGACAGGAGGTCAGTGACCTTCCTTTTCCTCCCTCTGTTCTTCCTTGCTCTCTGCTTTGGGTTTGGGGATTTATAGGGTCGTTTGGGTAGGGGTCGCCATAAGGCATGATGTATACTGGTGATTCATAATTCCTTTGAAATTTTATCTTATTCTTCCTTACCTACACTTGACCAACCTGTTCGTGAATTCTTTCTCAATCAGAGTCAAGAACCCTCCCCTGCTGGGGTTGAGGTTCACCTAGTGCACAGGGAGAGACCTCCCAGATGCAGCTGCCCGGCAATAATTTGAAACAAAAATTCATAAAAATTAGAATCATCCTCCTCAGATTATTCAGTCTTATGTAATTAATTCTTCTGCTTAAATCCAGTTTTCTACTAATTCCAGAGTAAAACAATATCTGTAAATGACAAAAGACTTAAAAATGGCAATGGTTAAATATCTGATGAGTCCATCAGAAGGCAATTGATGAGGAAATTCCGTTACTTCTATAACAATAAACAGTTCAGTAATCTAAGTCTAGCATCATTCAACTCACAATGTTTCCCAGGTAATTTTACATGTCAAATTAATAAGCCGAATTAGCTGAATGGTTCTCCTTTACTAGGAAAAAAAATCCTCTGATGTGTTCCAGGGACCCTCTGGAAAATCTCAGCGTTAACTAGGGGCAAAAGGACTTTATGCAGAATTTGATTTTGGGGAGTTGTCAAAATTTTCAAAAGGTTTTAAGGCACTTGCCTAAATAGGACTATAGGGCACCATGAAACAATACCTATCCATTTAACCAAGGTGATAATAAAAGATTTTAAAGGCAAATACAGGTTACATAGTTGTTAGCAAAGCTCAGCTCTTTCAATATTAAAATTTTGTTTTTTTTGAGTACTCAAAGACCTGATTGAGACAACATGAAGCACAAAAAATTATTCTGATAAAACAATTAGAAAAACCCTTCATAATCTCTTAACATTAAGAGCAGACCAATATTTCAAAAAGACAGATGCACCCCTATGTTTATGGCAGCACTATTTACAATAGCCAAGGGAAGCAACCTAAGTGTCCATCAGTAGATGAATGGATAAAGATGTGGTACATATGCACAATGGAATAATATTCAGCCATAAGAAGAAAACAAATCCTACCATTTGCAACAACATGGATGGAGCTAGAGGGTATTATGCTCAGTGAAATAAGCCAGGCAGAGAAAGACAGGTACCAAATGATTTCACTCATCTGTGGAGCATAAGAACAAAGAAAAAATTGAAGGAACAAAACAGCAGCAGACTCACAGAACCCAAGAATGGACTAACAGTTAGCAAAGGGAAAGGGACTGGGAAGAGTGGGTGGGAAGGGAGGGAGGGAGAAGGCGAATAAGAGGCCTTACTATTAGCACACATAATTTTGGGAGAGGGCGACGGGGAAGGCAGTATAGCACAGAGAAGACAAGTAGTGACTCTCTAGCATCTTATTACGCTGATGGACAGTGACTAATGGGGTATGTGGTGGGGACTTCATAATGGGGGGAATCTAGTAACCACAACGTTGCTCTAATAATTGTATATTACTGATACCAAAAAAAAATGTTCTGGAAAAAAAAAGAGCAGACCAATATTCAAGAAAACTTTTTCCTTTAACAAACAACAAAATTCTAGTCTTGCTGTGTACTTGGTATCAAAACTCATTCATTTCAGTCTCACATAGCATGACCACATTAAATTCCCTTTCCACAAGTGTAAGTCTGGGGAGAGGAAATCCCGGGGCAAAATACCTCTAAAAACCGAAATCAGTCAAAGGGAGAAATAAAGTTTGAAACTCGTTTATTGCTTACAAACTGCAGTCCATGGCCGTCTCTCTCCTCTGCTCCAGAAGCCAGCAAACAAGCCATCCAGCAAGCAGCCCCCTTCCCTTAACCTCCCAGGTTCAGACACACCCTCGGTTGCCCAGGTAACTAACTACCCACTGACATGGGAGATGAACTTCTCTCCACCCCTGAGGATATGCAAATGTACTAAAGCTAGGCGAGATATTCTGAAAATGTTACAATTTTACCGACAACAAGCCTTCTACAACCTTCTTTTTACATATAGAATTTTCCCTCCTTAAATAACCAGCTGTACTTTAGAACAAAATTATCTTTTCCCTCAATAAAAGCGCATTTCCATTTCTCACTCCTTATCAAAACACACATCTTAATTTTCTTGAATTCAGAGAGGTTTCCCTTATTATTTCAATTATCAGAACTTAAAATCCTTAGAAACCTTAGTTTTTAGTGAAAACTAAGAAGCAATTGTACACTGTTACACTAGCATTTTTTAGTGAACGCTAAATTTTGCATACATTTCATAATTTCTACAAACACGTGCTTCTTCATAGTAAAATTTTTCAATAAGCACAAATAAGTTTACTAACAGCCCCATACTTGTTTTTCTCTGTAATAAGGAAGCCCAAAGTGGATAAACTCATATTCAGTTATTAATGTTTCATTATTTTATCTTATTTGGAAATGATCTATTCCATTCACTGCAGGCGGGGGAAAGACATGAACCTGAGAGTAAGCAGCGTTAGACTGAGTCACGGAGGCGGCGCCGGGGAGCGCCATGCGTGCGGGAAACGGATACTTGGAAGCTGACACCACAACCTATAGGAGAAGGTGCCATGGGGTGACGCGGCTTGTGTTGCTTCGTAGTGTTACCTTGACGCACGGACATTGTCTTGAGGTTGGCAGGTGGATTGACTGCGATGGAGAAAGAATTCATGAGCAGGAGGAGCAGGTCCGAGCAGAGTAGTTTAATAAAGCAAAGTATACAGTCAAGGAGGAAGTGTGTGTGTGCTCCAGGGCACCTGTCTTTTTAATGGAATAGTTGATACATAAACTAATACTTGTACCATATGTGAGTCATAAAAGATACTAATAGAATGAAAAGCACCCTGAATCCACCACCAATCTAAGACGATAGAAAGTTACCAATGACTTGTATCCTTGCTTGTATCAGGGTTCTCTGAGCTGGTTACGCATCCGGGGAGCTTAGACAACCATTCATACCCTCCGGGACCCTGACCGGATTTGTCTAGAGTTTGGCTGGGCATCTGGAATTTTTATTTTAAAGGCATCTGGGTTTTTAAGACTCTCCAGGTGATTCTCATGCGCAGCGAGGTTTGAGAACCAATTGCTTACATTCTCCCTGTCGTGTTTCCGTGATTCTCCCCCCACACCCCACACCATCTTCGCCCCAGGTAACCATCATCCTGAATTTTGTGAAGAGAGGGGATCTTTTCCTTCATCCCTCCCTTTTTGCCAGGAGTAGCGATGTTTGAGATTGATCTCCCGCCCACCACGAGGGGGCACTAGAGGGGGAGGTGGAAACCACAGCCTTTCTCTCCGAACTTCCGGTATCGAGCTGGTGTGTAGCTTGGCCCTCGCGGCGCGCCGTCGCCCGACCCGTTGCCCAGGCAACGAACCGGGAAACGCGGGCGTTGGTGAAGCGAAGCCCGGGAACATTGAGGCAGGACGGGCCCGGCTTGGTTGGCGCTTGCAAGAGCTCGAGTTGGGGCGTTCTTCGGAAACTCCGGAACACAGAGAAACGTAAGTCAAGAAGTTGGGTTCGGCTGGGAGCCGCACAGCCCGGCCCCCCGATGGCCCTGCGCTGGAGGGAGCCGTGGAGGGCGTCGGGCCCCTTTCCCATCCTCACTCTGCTGCCTATGCGCTCCGGGTCCGACGCTTTGTTCTGTAATCCCTTTTGTCACGTGTGTATGTTGAGGCTGAGAAAGGGATGCGACTTGTTCAAGGAGCAGCCCTGCTTGTTGGTGGCCGATCGGGGACCGGGATCCCGTTTCTTGACTCCGGGCGCAAAGATTTAGCCGCGGGCGGCTTTGAGGGCAAGGGGTAAAAAGTATGTCAACCCAGCCACAGCCTCAAAGCAGGTCACAAATTGGCAGCTGCACGCTATACTTGGTCCATAAACGCAGAATATTATCCTCCAGGCGTGGAGGATGCTGGACTGAGACTTGGCGTGGACCTAGGCCTCTAAGCTTATTCAACAGACTTTACCCAAGCACGGTCGTACCCAGGCACTGTGTGCATCCGCACGCAGGGGCTTCTGGCTCAGAGGAAAAGGTGCCCAGAGTGAGAGTGCTTTCAAGCGTCCAGTTGTGTTCTCAAATTGTTCTGTGACCTGGGCAAATCGATTCCTTTCTGTGGATCACAGTTTCTCTATCTGTAAGATGAGGGGTCTGCCCTCCATGGTAAACCAGAACACTTCCACGTCTGGCACCTGGCCTATGCTCCTTCCTGGACTGCCAAAGCCAGGGTATGTTGGTGTCTACAGAGCCTGCGCCCTGGTCTCACTAAGGGGAATTGGGACCCCAGCTTTTATTTCCTCTACTTCATGGCTTTGTAATCTTGGGCAAGTCACCTTACCTCTTTGAACTTAAGTTTCTTCATCTGCCAAATAATGGGGTGAGTATAACAATAAAAAAATCCAAATCTGTCAAGAGCTTGGCACATACACATGTTCCTTCGATTGTTATCTGTTACTTTGTGCAGAGCATAGAAGTCCGTGTGTGCTTGGTGTGGTGCCGCTGGTTTCCTGTCTTTGTCGGCAGTGTCCTTGATGATGTGTGGCTCACAAACGGGTACAGTCTAGGTTTATTTAGACTGATGATTTGCAGCTCTGATGGCACAGCATTTAAAAAATGCTGATGCTTTGGGCCTACACTAACTTTTCATTGGTCTGAAGTGGGGCCCAGGCTCCAGAAATATGCAGCTAAGGGGTGAGGACCACTCACTGAAGAGATGAGGCCGAGCTTGTGCCGGCCCCTGCTGTTGCAGCAGGCTCATTTTCCTACCATTGCTGTTCTCAGATGGCTCTCCCCACGCTGCCCTCTTTGTGGTGCAGCCAGAGGCTCCTGGATCAGCAGACAGCACGACAGCGACACCGAGAGAAGGAAGCTCAGATTCGGCAGCAGTGGGATCAGAACAGCCGCTACTTCAGGATGTCTGACATCTGCAGTGTCAAACAAGCAGAATGGAGTTCTAAGAACTCCTATCAGCAAAGGTAATTGTGTGGTGACCACAATTGTAAAGAGGTGGGTGGCCACTTGCTGGTCAGGGGACATGGCCTTAAGGACCTGGGGGTTTGGGGACAGCATGGTAGTTTTCCAACTGGCAGTTGTAAAAAGATTATCAGTGAAGTAATATATGTATTGAAAAGGATGGAATGATAAGAAATGTATGGAGAATTGGGAAGTGTCCTTGTGACATCCCCAGAGAGAACCATAATTAACAGTCTTATGCATATCCTCCCATACTTTTTCCTATTTGTGTTTGTGTATAAATACACATACATACATTTTTATAGAAATACATGGAAGTTAAAAGCATGGGCTTTCGAATGAGATAGATCTAGATGGAAATCCTGACTGTTACTTACTGTACAAATTAGCCTCAGTTTCCTCATCAGTGATTTGGGGCTAAAACAGAACCTATTTCATAGGGTTTATGTGATGATTACTAGAACGAGCCATATATAGAGTACCTGGTAATTACTCACATAGTATTAGCTAGCACTATTATCATATACAAGCCTATTATACATTTTCTTACTGCTAAAACAAGGGTTCTGTGACCTGCTCTTTGCACTTTGACTGGAGGACACCTTCCCATGTCACCACACCATGTCTGCCTCAGCCTCTTTTATCCACACAGCAGAGGAAAGCATGCCACGTGTGGCTATAGCACAACTGATTTATGGAGGGCTCCTTCTCACCCAGCATGCATGCCTATCAGCGTGAGAAGATGAAGGAGGAGCATAGGAAGCGTCTGGAGGCCAGACGGGAGAGGCTCCAGCAGCTTCTGCTGGAAGAGCAGGACCTGCTGGCCAGAGAACTGGAGGGGCTGAGGCTGAGCATGGACTTGCGGGAAAGAAGAATCCGGGAGCAGCGTGGGAATTTGAAGTCGGCCCGAGAAGAGCAAAGGAAGCTGGTAACGTCCCCCGGCCCTCTAGGTGGCTGTGGAGCAGGAGCACGCCCAGCCTGTCAGTGACCCGCATGTGGGGTTGCCCCCGGGCACTCTGGTCTGACTGGACGGCAGTTAACTCCAGAGCCAGCTGGGAAGAGTGATGACGTTCTTCTCATGTGTTTTGCACAAGTCACTTCTATTCTCTTTGGCCCCTTGAGCTATTACATCTGGGTCCTTTTTCTTTCTTCCAGTTTTGTGGTCCCACAAAGTCTGGACTGATATATTTTATCTCCCAAAGTAGTTGGGTGGAATGGTGAGCCCGAATCTGTGTTTTAAAGTCTGCTGTATATTTCGAACGATCCGTAGCATCAGATTTTGGCTCCCTTTCCTCACTGCTGTAAGAGTCCCTTGTCAGGGCTATCCGGTTCCACTCAGGCGTCTGCCTCCCAGAGCTGTGGTGCAGGATGGGCAGGAGGTCTGCAGGGTGGCTGCAGTGCCAGTGTGCCACCGAGGAGCTATCAGCCTGAGCTGACTTCCCGAGCTGTGGGTTATGGGAAATGTGAATGGACTTGAAAACTGACCTCAGGCTTCCCTCTCTGTGTTTTCTTGACAGATTGCTGAACAACTTCTGTATGAACACTGGAAGAAGAACAACCCCAAACTTCGAGAGGTGAAAACCAAGGAGATCCTTCCTCTGTTTTGCCAAAGCAGATAGAATAATGTTTCCCATTTTGTTTTTAAGCTTGCATCTTGTGCTGTGGTGAAACAGAGAATACTCTAGTCACCTAAATACACCACGCCGAAGATCTGGTTCCTTCAATCGCTTAGCTAACATTTGCTGAACATTTGCTGCAAGCCCACCGCCTCGGGCATGGAGATTAGATGTGGGCCCCACTCTTGAGGAGCTTATAGTCAGTGCAGGAGACAGTGGGCAGCTCTCTACAGTGCGGACTTCAGGGTTCTGGGCAGGTCCAGGAAGATGGGTATCAGGGCAGCACCCCCCTGAGTCAGGGGTTGGGGAAGTATCCTACAGGAGTTTCCAAGGTGGAGGAGTTTGGTAGAATATGGGTGTGAACTTGACAGTGCAGAGTTGAGGAAAGGACATTCTAGATTGAGGCTACCATGCAAGAACCAGGCCTGAGTCATGAGAGCAGAGCGAGTCCAGGGAGCTCCACGTGGCTGAGAGGTGGATGTCAGGTAGCTGAGGCTGCTGAGGCAGAAGGGACCAGGCTTGGGATGGTCTACCTCTGGAAGCACTGGTCAGTGCTTGGATGTTTTCTAAGCAGGGGTGCAGGGGATCCCAGCTGTATTCTGGGAGCAGTAGCTCCGGCAGCAATGTCGAGGTGGGCGGGAAGGGTTGATGCCAGTTGAGGGGCTGCTGTGTCAGCCCAGGTGAGGGAAGGTGAAGGCCAGACCTGGGTGGCAAGAGAAAGGACAAATTTGCAAGGCCTTCAGGCAAAGAAGGGTGCATTGTGGCCTGGGGGACACCGTCCAGTAGAGATCGGCTTGGGGAGAACAATCCCATGACTGACATCAAATTATTTCAGAACTTTGTGTTCAGTTTGGATGGTGGTCGGTTATGTAATTACTTAGAAGGCGCCAGACACTAAGTTAATGGAGCACCTCGGCGCTCTGGAGTCTTGTGCAGATGCTCTAGACCACAGCGGGACTCCTCGCCCTGCCCAGCTGTAGGTTCAGGGGTGTCCTCCAAAGTCACTTACTCAGAAATGTTTATTCAAAACATTCAAGGTAGTTGCAAATGTTTACATTTGTAAGTTGAGAAGGAAATTTAGAACTTTTATAAATGATTTCCTGAACAAAAGCTTTTGGACAATTTTGTAGTTCGTTTTCTGATCCAAAAGATTCCCTAAACCCAAATCTTTTCTTAACCCCAAGTTTGTTGTATATATTGATACAGGGAGTACATGTGTTTACAACTACTGCTTTGCAGAAGCTCTGGGGAGCCAGGCAAAGGGTTGTGTCTGCTTACCTAGCTCCTGCTGCCCTGGGGCCTGGCGTGCTTTGGACTAACCAGGGGTGGCCTTTGAGATAGTATTTCCATTTCAGTGTCTGCTGACCTGTTCCTGCTTGACACCAAGGGTATTGGGAGAAAAGTTTCTGTTACTCTGTTTCAACTCTTGAGATTGGTTTAGAACTGCCCAGTCTTTTGTTTGGTTTTCTAATTGACATGCATTCGGATTATATGTTGGGGTCACCTGTGCTCCTTTGCAAGACACCTGGGCCACTGAGTCCTCACAGGGAAGCCTGGTCATGCTCTGGTGCAGGGCACTGTGCCCTGCAGTGAATGTCTGTCAGATGAACCAGTGAGGAAATTAATATTCTCTCCCTTTCATCCTCAGATTGAATTGGACCTTCACAAGAAGCACGTGATAAACTCTTGGGAAACTCAGAAAGAAGAAAAAAAACAGGTGTGGTACATGACTCTGAAATAGTCCCACATGCTATGGTGGGAGTCCTATGTTTCCATGTTTTTGATTTTTCTTGTTTTCAGTGTTAAGGACCCCCAGGCCAGGAACAGACTTTTTCTCAAGTTACTTAACACATGTTAAAACAAGGTTTGCTGCTCTCACACATTCTAGAATCCTATGTGATCCTTCCCAGGGGCAGAATAAGACCAGGTGACCAGGCGTGGTCGATGGTAGGTGGAACGTGCATCTGAAAGGTCATTTTTGTTGCTGGCAGGCTCTTGATGTAATTTGCATCATAAACTCAACCTTGGCTTACAGCAGCCCCCTTGGGATAAAAATCCACTCCTCCAAGAACTTTTACCTCCATATCTTTACTTCTGGTTTATTTTGGAAAGTATCTTGCTGACTATGGAAGGGGAAGGAACGCCGACATTCTTGAGCCCCTGCTGTGCCAGGCATTGTGCTGAGTCGCTCCTCACCTCTGAGGGAGGTGTTGCTCCAGCAGTTCCCACAGCGCAGCAGCCCAGCAGGACACACCCTCATCCTGGGCACAGCTGCTGAGGGGCACCACTGCACTGCTCTGGTGCAGACACGGACTAGGGAACCAGGCCCTGTGGCCTGAGGCATAGAGGCAGGAGTGGGGTTTTTGCTGGCTGTGAAGGATGCTGATCTGTGTTCATTTGGCCCCATGTAGCAAGAAGCCACTGAAGGGGAAGAGAAAAAACGGTACGAAAACGAATACGAAATAGCCCGGAGGGAAGCTCTGGAACGGATGAAAGCCGAAGAGGAAAGGAGGAAACTGGCAGACAGGCTCCAGGCTGAGGCACTACTCCAGCAGATGGAGGAGCTGAAGCTGAAGGAGGTGGAGGTGAGGGCAAGCGCAGGCCACTGTGGCCTCTTGCAGCTGCTTGTTCTGAAACGAGCATTTAAAAACTGCACGAAGACAGGTCATGTTGGCGGAGTGAGGCTAAGGAGTGCAGCAGCACTGGGTTCTCCCTTGTGCGGTCTCTCCATACTCCTGGGTTGTGTGCTCGGATTCTAGAACATGAACGCTGCAGAGACAGTACCTGTTCTCTCAGGTGTGCTCAAGGTCGGCTGTGTCAGAGTCTTTTTAGAACTTGGATTTTCCAGTGCTCTGAGTAGACCTGACTTAGTCTGATGTTCTGGACCATAGCTCTCCCCAGCAAACTGGTTTGAGATCTTAAGGCACAAAACTTGAGGGACTTTGGTTCAGGAGGCTGCTTTGAAAATACTGTGTAGTGTTGGTGAGGGGCCTGGATCTTCCCGCTGAGTTGGAGGCCCTTCCCCAGGCCTGAATGATTGAACATCTAGAGCCACGGTGCCCCTGCTGCCTCTAGGTGCTGAGCACCGGGCTGTGTGCTAGACAGACAGCCGTGAGCAGGGCCGCAGTCCTGGCCCTCAGGCAGCAGCAGCACTGGGCAGAGAGACAGGGGTGAAGTCACTGCTGCACAAAGTCTGCTGAAAATGGAGATGAGGAATGAAGGGAGGACACCGACTGTCATGCCGCACCGGGTTTACTGTCACTGTGACCACAGGCCGCCAGACTGAAGGAGGAGCAAGAGAACCTGCTGAAGCAGCAGTGGGAGCTGGAGAGGCTGGAGGAAGAGAGGAAGCGGATGGCGGCCTTCCGGCAGAAGGCAGAGCTGGGGTGGGTGTGAGAAGCCCCCCCACCCCTGCGCCTGCCCGGCCCAGGCAGGCCATCTCTCGCCGTCTCAGCCTTGTGCTGGGACGCCTGATGCCAGAAAGGATACAACCTGTAGTAAGTCACTGTCTAACCTCTACAAAACTCTTTACAAGCCACTGAAAGAACCCATATTTCGCCTATTTTTAGACGCTTTCTAAGACATCAATATAACGCGCAACTCAACAGACGGACACAGCAGATCCAAGAGGAGCTGGTAAGTCTGAAGACACAGCTTTGCGTTTCTTTCTCTCTTTGGAAGAAACTGTTTGCCACACTCACTAAGGAGTACACTTGAGTAAGAGTGAAAACACCAAGGGAGATCCCGCGGGACCAGCCCCTGCAGTCCCTGCCCCCCCCAGAGGGGTCTGTTTGGTGTGCGTCCTTCTAGGTATATTGTGTACACACACGTTCCTCATGTACTTGAAGTGGCATTCCTCGGCATAGTTACCCAACAGTAAGCCTCACACTCTAACGCTGGCACACTTGGAGGGAGCTTGTTCCTTTTGGCTGGCTGCTCAGTCTTGTCAGGTATTTTGATGGGCTCCCTCACTGAGATCGGGACAAGGCAAGTGAGGGAGAAGCCTATTTCCCTCCCATCCCTGCCTGCTGCAGTCAGGGAGGTCCTTGGGAGGCAGCGCCACTGCTTTTGCTGTCTCACAGCTTTCCCCCCAGTACATCTTTCCCAGGGCAGGCTTGCCAGAGTGCCTTCTTGCTTGCCCGGCGCCCACTGTGGAGACGCTAACAGGGTGTCAGCTTGTTTCTGGTTCTTCCCTCTTACATAACAGCTACAGGAAGCGTTCTGTGCATGTATCTGTGTGCATTTGTGTCTCTGTGGTCTGTGTTCTTAGAAGTGGAACTGCTGCTAAATTGTGTTCTAAAAAGCTATGCTACCAGGTGTGTCTGAGGGCAGGGACACGTGTGTGATGGCAGAGGGGCCTCTGCTTGTAGGCAGACAAAAGCTCCTAGGCCTCCACAGTGTCCTTTTAAACCATCCCCAAGAGTTTACATGACTCTTCTGGAATCATCCCAGCGTCTTCCCATCTCTATCTCGGGAGCATTGAGAAGCATGATGAGTGTCTGCTTCCAGTACCGAGTGCAGAGAGGAGAGGGGCTGGCAGGTAGGAGGCCATGGCCAGCAGGGCTCTGCAAGTGCCTGCTGTGCCTCCTTACCCTCCCTTAGGAGGCGGACAAGCGCATCCTGCAGGCGCTGCTCAAGGCGGAGGAGGAGAACCAGCGCACACACTTGGCCAGGCGGGAGCAGGCCCTGGCTGATGTGGAGTGGATGCAGCAGGTCGTGGAGGAGCAGCTGCAGCTGGAGAGGGCACGGGAGGTGGAGCTGCAGACGCTGTGGAGGTAAGAGGCAGCAGCGTCCGGGCTGGGCACTCCTGGCCTGACTCTGGCCCCTTGGATGCCCGCAGGCCGCCGTGAGGGTTGTCTGTGTTACTGAAGGATCTGTCCTTGTTGATCTCTCCGTTGCTCATGAGGAGCACAGCTTTGTTAACGGACCTGGCTTGTGGGCTGTTTCCCTTAGGTTATTGAAGTTGGAAGTCATTAGGGTGCAGAGTTCCTAATGGATCTGTTCCTCTAAAATCTTAGAAATTTGAAAATTATAAATTATAAATCATGGAGGTGATAGATGCTTATCAGTGAGTGTGGATCCTAAAAATTTATCTGGCAGATTAAAATAATCGAATCACAGGTAACATTTTTTGAGCCTCCCTTATTGTATAAAAGTACTGTGCAAAGTACTTTTACTGTCTTCATCTTCTTTAGTCCTGACATCCAGCCAACCGGCAGGTACCTGGGTCGCAGAGACTCAAGGAGGTCTCTTGCCCAGGCCCCAGGGTGAGCTCGCAGTGACCCCAGGAGCAGGGTGACAGCAGCTCAGGCCCTGGCAGTGCTGCCCCCTCTCCTGCTCCTGAAGGGTTCACTCACCTCAGTGTTAAAGGGTCTGGGTGCAAGTCATCACAGGTGCTTTTTGCCGCAGATGGGGCATAAGGTAAGTTACTGCAGGAATTAATTCCTTATTATAGGGATGCACTCTGTGAGGTTGTCCTTGATTGTAATCGGGCACAGTTTGTGTGGTGCAGAAGTTTACTGGAAGGCTGGCCCCACAGATGGCGTGTGCTGCCCTCAGGGCTTTAGTTCTCTTCTGGCATCCAACAGTGGTGGGAAGGAGCCTGCTGTCATCTGCTTTGTGTTTCCCTAGGGAGGAAGCCAAGGAAATGTGGGAGAAGAGAGAGGCCGAGTGGGCCCGGGAGAGGAGCGCACGGGACCGACTGATGAGCGAGGTAATCCCAGCTGGTCCCCAGGCAGGCGTCCAGGAGTTAGTGACCACATGCCCTGCCAGTGTTCTGGGGAGAGAGTCCTCTCTGCTTATTTTAAATGGCCTTTCACTATCATTATAAAAATGATACAAGCTTATTAGAAAAGACTCAGAAGTACAGAAAAGTAAAAGCAAAGTCCCCCAGATCCTCCTCATCTACAGAGGCCCTATTACTCTATTTCCTTCTACTACTTTGAGGCTTCTATGCCAAACGTTTTTCTACATATTTCTCATTATACTGTGCTGTTTGATCCCAAGCATTCTAACATGCTATTGCATCATCTTTGTAAATACCATCTTGGTGGCTACATGATATATCATCACATTGGGTATACTACAGTTCTGTTTTTTGATTACCCTCTGTGGGCATTTTAATTTTTTTCTAGTTTTGAGGCTTTGGGAGAGGTAATTGCAGTCAATGTCTTGGTGCATGAGGCTTTTCCATATTTAGCAAATTTTTCCTTGGGATGCATAGCCAGAAGTAGGTGAAAAACATAACCTTTTCCTTTGTCATTATTTAAGTAATGCATGTATGACACACCCCAACTAAAAGCAAGTCTTTGGGGAAAAAGGTGTTCATTATCCATGGTTTGTCCTACCGTGGTTTAAAGTGGAAGTTTTATTCTGTGTATATCATTGTGCTACATTGTGGAATCTCTGGGAAATTGGGTCCCAGTGATGTTTTCACTTTTGTAAATACCACATATTTCCCAGCATCTTTTAATTTTCCCCATTAAAAATGTTCCTCCTTGTTGTGACCAGGAAGCCATAACTGTTGAGTTTAGCAGGTGGTTTCCCTCTGTTCCTGGTTCTTAAGTCCTGACCATGGTCTGGATGTGGTCCTGCTGTGCCCAGGTCTCCGCTCCGAGCAGTAAATGTAAATCCAGAAGGTTGAGGGGATGGCCCAGACTCTGCTTTTGGTCACCTGCGTGGCTGTGGTTCCTTTCTTTTTCTGGTGGGGAGTGGGGTTCACCTTGCTGCTGAGTTTCTGTACCCTGGAGAGTGAGCCCCACCCCGTCTCCTTTGATCTCTGGTGCTCGGCTGTCTCTTCGTCACACACAGTCTGTGCGTTTTGTATGTGAGGGGATGGGCGGGAAGCGTGCCCGAGGCTCAGAGCCATCCTGATGTCTGGGCTTGGCTTCATCTGGCTTAGTTAGGCCCGAGGCTGGGATCAGGCTGCATCTTGGTGTAGCTGCAGCTGCAGCCAGTCCATGGCTTGTGCAACAGGTTATCTGTTAGTCAAACTAAAATCATCCCCGCTCCTTTCTGCTGAGGATAGGTCCTGACGGGGAGACAACTACAAATACAAGAGAAGATTGAACAAAACCGGCAGGCTCGAGAAGAATCCCTAAGACACAGGGAGCAACTTATTCAGAATCTTAAGGAGGCAAGAGAGTCGGCTCGACGTGAGAAAGAGGAGAGTGAAGAACTGAAATCAGCCAGGAAACAGGAGCTGGAGGCCCAGGTGGGGCTCTGTCCTGGGCTGGGAGGCGGCCTCAGCCGGGGGGCGAGAGCGGCAGGCAGCAGGCGCTGACATGGCTCCCACGTCATGGCACAGCATTCAGAGAGCCTGACTTACTTCCACAGCCAGGCGCTGGTACTTTGTCCAAGAGGCCCACGTTTGAGAGCTCAGTGCACCCCTCTTTATTTCCAGCTGAAACCCTCACCATCCTGATAGTAGTTCAGGCCCACTCAGGTCCTGGGAGCACGGCTGGCATTACTGTCCATCATCTCGTTTTCCTGTCTGCAGCCACAAGCATTTGGCTCGCTGGGCCACAAATCTCTATTACTCAATTAAGTGCCTAATAGGTAACAGGATAATCTTGCAAACACGAGGCCACATCCAGAGCTTTTTACAAGTACATAGCAGCACACACATCAGCTTTCCAACCCCATAAATGCCCGCCCCCTTCTTGGCATTTGCTGTCACCACTATGTAGTTCTGATTGTCAGCTCGGGTAGATCCACAGGCTTTCCCTCCGATCAGAGGCAGGCTCTGCCCTGTAGACCGTGTTTGGGTGACTTGGTGCTTGGTGGGCAGGTTGCAGAGCGCCAGCTGCAGGCGTGGGAAGCCGACCAGCAGCAGGAGAAGGAAGAGGAGGCGGCAAGGCAGGCGGAGCAGCTCACAGATGCCTTGCTGCAGCAGGAGGCGAAGAGGATGGCTGAGCGGGGCTACCGGCCCCAGGTGAGGAGCCTGCAGGGGATGGGCCTGGGCCCTGCTCCCCCAGGTCTGTGTGAAGCCTTTGCTCAGCCCTGCTTCCCAACCAAGCTTGGATTCTTCCTTGCATTTCTCCCTTTCTTGACTAGTAGGGGACCTTGACACAGGGTCTGTTTCGGTCCTTGGTTGGGCCTTGACTAGCACTTGAGGTGATTTTGCTCTGGCTCCTGCTGCTGCAGCCCAAGGACTGAGGTCCTGACTGCTAAGGCAGGTCCTGACACAGCCTGGTGACCCTGGTCGGGCTAAAGTGCAATCCAAGAAGAGCTTTGGCACAGCTGGGGGGAGGAGAAGGCACAGTGGTGCTTATTGCTGACTGTCTAGGCAGCAGAACCGGGCAAACAGTGGCTGTTTCTCTTCCTCTCCTCCTCCTGGCACCTCTGGTTTCCCCCTCCCCATTGTCTGATCCTCTCCTTGGAGCTCTCGAGGTGTTCAAACAGCATTTGCTAAACTTGACCATGGATCAATGAGTGTCTCCAGATCAGGGGTTCACAGAGCACACTTTTACTTAAAGAAAAGTCAGAGTGCTTCATTTATGGCTTAGGGTCAAAGATTCTTCTGCTGTAAATGAAAAGTGCCTTTAGCTCTTAATTAAATGGGGTTAATTCTCAATCCTCCAGACTGCTGATCTGATCAGTCTTATGTTTCTTTTCTCAGCCTTATGGACATCCCAGAATTGCTTGGAACTGACTTCCCTGGGACTATAAGCACAGACAGCAAGATGCTGAGGTCTTCACTATGCAGTCGCCAGACAGTTCTACAATGTTCTTTTCTAGTGTTCGCGTCACTGTGAAATAGTTCATCGAGTCTGTTCAGGTCCATGATTCAGCGGAGCGAGGGGCTGGCCATACTTTACAGTGCTGTGGCTTTGCAGCATCCAGCAGGAGCCCCTATCCCGCCTTTCTCATCCAAGAAAGGGGTTTTTACAGTCACGCGTTGACAGTCCTGTCACAGTCTTGTAATATATCTAAAAATAATGTAAGAGTCTAAATCAGTGCTAGGAGCTACAAGTTGTGTCCACGATAGGATATCTGCTTTCCTGTTGTCTTACCCTAACTGTCAACCTCTGGTGAAGACTCCAGCTGGAGATAGGAGGGAAGTTTTTCCATTTTTAAAATGCCATTGTAGAGATTAATCTAGAACTGTGGTACACTGATGCACAGTGGGAAGACACATTTTTGGCTGATCTTTTGGATCTGATCTTGTTTCTTCAGGTTTGGGTTAAATTTAAATTTAAATTTAACTCTTCTGTTGAAAACAAACTCAAGTCTTGGTTCAGCTTATTTCAGGGTTTATTAATTATGGTCCCAAAAGGATCACAGCTTGTTTTCTGGATGGAAAGAACTGTGATCCCTAAGACAATCTGCTGTGGTCCATGGATGCTTTCTGGAAGCGTGGTGAGAAATGTGTCTTTCCTCTTTTAAGAGGCATTTCAGTAGACTTTCCAGGAGAGCGCTGTGTGGTAAGGGAGTGATCCCAACATATGTTACTGAGCCTCAAAAGGTCACCTGGTTGGCTGACTTTTTGACATGGCACTTTGGACTGCTAGTGTCTCAGGAAGGCCTCAGCTCCATGCAGCCTTCTGGGATTTATGTGCCAGAGGAAGGGCCACTGAACCTGAAGAAACTAGATCAGCTTCAACCACAGATCAGCCAAAAACTTCTCTTCCCAGTGTTATATCAATGTGACGTAGTCCTAGATTAATCTCTACAAAGAGCTTCAAGTCCCTTACAGCAATAATAATATTTTATGACTTGTATTTTTTTCATATTCTTCCTATTAGGTTTCAGTTTTCATTATATTGTGTTCCAGATTGGGTATCTTGGTAAATTATAGCTAATTACAAGACTATGTTCCAGGTTATTAAAAACCAGAGTTTATTAAAAAAATCTTGAGTCTAAGGGCTGCAATGCCTTTCACTTCCATTGTGCTATAAAAAGAAATTGAGCAGCAAACTGTATCCTTAATCTGTTTTCCATTTTCTTGTCTTGAATTTCTTGGCCATGCTTTCCTGAGCTTCCATTTCATTATGCATGCTCATATTTACTTTCCCTGTTTCAGATGTTCATCAATTGTGAAATAAAGTTATGGTTTGATGGCATTGCTTCCAGGCTTCGTTACTGTTGATATTAATTGCTGCAAAGTGGGTTGTGTGGAATGATAGATTTTTACTGATTTAATCCACATTTTCTACAGGGTTGGGTATTTCCTGTGACCGGTCACATCTTCTGGGTTATATTCATTTTTCCTGTGAAAAGTGGTATTGTCTCTCCTCTCATTTCCATTGGAGCCTCTTCCTAGTAAACTTCAGAGAATTACTAACAAACAGTCATTCTGTTGCCTGAGCTCCTGTATAGAATCCATGTGAACAGAATGCTTGGTAGATAGATACTCAAATATTTACTGAATATTTTTTATTTCTTTGAATTTCTTGTTTTTGAATCTGCTGGTAATCTTCCTTATTAGCATTAAATAGTATGTTATACTGCTTCTCTGCCCTAATATATTTATACGTTTTCTCTCTAAACTGGGCCAAAATACTTGTTTCTAAATTTAGAGTTTCCACTGTCTTACTGTTTCTGGTGTGGCTCATACTCCTCTTATCTCATATATATTTTGATTGTGTTGTGGTTATATATACAAATATTGTTTTTATTGTTTTTAAGCACCTTTTTCTAATTACTATAAAAATTATTCTTCATTAGATTCTTCTATAAAGTTGAGTTTCTTCAGAACAGATAGTATTGAAGCCACTACTAATAAAAAATGATTCTTATTTTGTTCTGTATGTGAACAATTTTTACTCTTTGTACTCATTCAGCAGCTTTTTTCTCTAGGGAAGATGTAGTGCTAAGCCTGTAGTTACAAAGCTAAACGAGAACAGAGACAGGAATCAGACCCAGGACACAGATGAACAGACGTCACTGGCAGGCACAGAGCCAGTTACAACTCGGGAGACTGAAGGGCCCATTTATGCAATGAATATATTCAGTATGTCCATATTTCTTTATGGATATAATGAATATTTTTTCATGATATGGGTTTTTAGGTAGTTTTCAGTGTTTATAAAATATAATGCATCAACAACATGGATGGAGCTAGAGGGTACCATGCTCAGTGAAATAAGCCAGGCAGAAAAAGACAAGTATCAAATGATTTCACTCATCTGTGGAGTATAAGAACAAAGAAAAAACTGAAAGAACAAAACAGCAGCAGACTCACAGAACCCAAGAATGGACTAACAGTTACCAAAGGGAAAGGGATTGGGGAGGATGGATGGGAAGGGAGGGATAAGGGGGAAAAAGGGGGGGCATTACTATTAGCAGACATAACGTAGTGGGGGACACGGGGAGGGCTGTACAACACAGAGAAGACAAGTAGTGATTCTATAGCATCTTACTACACTGATGGATAGTGACTGTGGGGGGGACTTGGTGATGGGGGGAGTCTAGTAAACATAATGTTCCTCATGTAATTGTAGATTAATGATAGCCCCCAAAAATATATATATATATAATGCATCATTATAATGCCTTCAAAAGCATTAGCCTTAGCGGTGCTTTGCTGACCTTTTATTGTAGGGAGTTTGACATTGCAGTGCTTTCATCTTAGAAGGGTATTTACTTCATGACTTAATGTTATGGTCACTCAAAAATCTAAAAAAAAAACTATCTCAAAGGATACAAGTCTGATTTTCTTTATTATTAAGACTCATTTCTTAAGAGTGGATTTAGGTTCACAGCAAAATTAAGGGGAAGGTATACAAAGATTTCCCACCGAGGCCCTAGCCCCACACATGCATTGCTTCCCACATCATCAGTATCCCTCACCAGAATGGGACATTTGTAATAACTGATGAACCTACACTGACACATCCTAATACCCAAAGTACATAGTTTACTTTAGGGTTCTCTCAGTGTCGTATGTTCTGTGGATTTGGACAAATGTATAATGACGTACTCATCATTACAGTATCATAGAGAATTTTCACTGTCTATTCATCTGTCCCTCCCCTCAACTCCTGGTAACCATAGATCTTACTGTCTCCATAGTTTTGCCTTTTCCAGGATATCACAGAGTTGGAATCATATAGTATGTAGCATTTTCAGACTGGCTTCTTTCACTTAGTTACATGCATTTAAGGCTCCTCTGTCTCCTTCATGACTTGATAGCTCATTGCCTTTTACTATGTGAGTAATATTCCATTGCTCGGATTTATCCATTTACCTACTGAAGAGTATCTTGGTTGATTCCAAGTTTTGGCAGTTTTGAATAAAGCTGCTATATACATCTGTGCATAGGTTTTTATATGGACATAAGTTTTCAGCTCCTTTGGGTAAATGCCAAAGGGAATGATTACTGGATCATATACGTAAGGATATGTTTAGTTTTGTAAGAAACCACCAAACCATCTTCCAAAGTGGCTGTACCATTTTGTAGTCCTACCAACAATGTGTGAGAGTTCCTATTGCTCCACATCATATAGCATTTGGTGGGTTAGTGTTCCAGATTTTGGCTATTCTAGTAGTGCGCAGTGGTATCTCAGTTTAATGTACATTTTTCTGATGACAAACGATGTGGAGCATCTTTTCCTATGCTTATTTGCTATCTGTTTATCTTCTTTGGTGAGGTGTCTGTTAAGATCTGGCTCACTTTTTAATTAGGTGATTTGCTTTCTAATTACTGACTTTTAAGAGTTCTTTGCATATAAAGGCTAACAGACCTTTACCAGATGTGTCTTTTTGTTTTTTTAGGTCTTTCTCTCTTTAATCTCAACATGGTAAAAGGTATCCATACTTCCTAACCTTGCATTTTTTTTTCGTCCTGAGGTATAATTAGACAACCAACGTTTGACTGGTAATGTGCCAGAAATCATTCTAACCACTCACATAGAAAATCTTAAATAACTTTACAAAGGGGTACATATTACTTACTCGTTTTTATAGTTGTGAAACCTAAGGCTTACAGAGGTTTCAGATGTAATAGCAGGTCCAGCATCACAGGTGAGGAGATAACGCAGCCCGGATTGGGAGCTCGACAATCCATACCTGCTTATTTCAACTTTCCAGACTCCAAAATTCTTTCTTTTAAAATCACCTTTAATACTATATTCTCCTACAAATACCTTATATTGTTTCTACCTTGTAGATTTAAAAGAAAAAATTACATACTAATTTGTACCTTTTTTTCTTTAAACATCTGTAATTTTGTGAACATCTTAGTCATAAATCCAAATTAACTATAATTATCAGTATATGAATAAAGGGAAATTTTTTTCAGTAATATATAAATCCCTATTACTGAAGTACTATATAGATCATAAACTCAAGAATATCCATTACTTCATCAACCACTAGCACTCTCCACATGGTACTTAAAGTAGTGGGTACTGAAATATTCATTAGATATGCTGAATTAGACAAATAATCTGACACAAATTTTTATATTTAAACGCTAAGGTCACGCTAAGGTCAGAAAACAAAGTCTACCTAACTTACTTTGTGATTTGAGATGGGAGAAAAAAAGACAAAGCGACAAATACAGAGAGGTAAGTAGTCGCCAGGCTGAAGCCAAAATTAAACTATCAGAAAATGTACATCCTGGCTCTCCTTACACATCACTAAAAGAGCAAAACTAAGGTAGGTCTTTTAACATTAATGTAAGTTTTATTCAAGAGATAATATTAAAGAAAAGTTGAATTCTAACAAAGGAAAAATTTACCAGTGATCCACCCTAAAGTAAAAAGTGGAACTGGTGACTGTTTACAACACAAATAAATTATGCTGTATTGCTTCTTTGAGAGAACCATTTCTTAACATCTACTGATAAGGCTTTGTGAACTGTGTTCAGAAACTTTAAACACACACACACACACACACACACACACACACACACACACACTCCTTTAAGAAAGTACCTTGGATTTTTACTCCAGGCTGTTTCTGCAAGTACCTAGGACCCTATAACTTTAAAAAGATTGTGTATTTCTACCTGAATTGGGACCCTATAACTTAAGACTGCATATTTCTACATGAACTCAATTTGCACTGCCTTAGCTATATTATTTACCACGATTTTAAAAAATTAGATCAGTATTTATTATGACTTTGTAACTCCTTCAAATTATACTTTAACATTTGACATGGTACTTCAAAAAATAAATATTCAAGGCCTCAGTTTTTGATAAGTATTAATAGGAATATCCTAAAAGTAGCTTTCTTATAAAAATTACCTGTTATAATACAGATCATATTCTATTTCATAATTCTGATAGAGAATGTGTTTTTTGGTAATGAAACAAGTTTAGGACGATTCATTCTTTAGAAAAATCTTAATGGCAGTCATTCAATGAAGCAGTCAATCATTCCTAAATTCACAAACACTCAGAAGCTTCTGTTAGCATTGACCGAGTTTTGGGGACTCTTTTTGGTGGTTATTGCTTTAGTTGGCAATACACAAATTTAAGGAAAAAGAACATCTCCCACTAAGCCTTATTTTAAATATTACAAAATTTACACAGAAGATAGACTCACAGAGGCTATAATGTTGGTATCTTATGTAACTGCACCAATGGGTGCAGGTTTTTTTAGAGAATATTGTTTTTTAGCTCTAAAAATAAATGCCCCCCCCAATTGGAAAAATAAAGACATTTGAAGTAGAATAAATAAACAAATAAATGCCCCTACTTTTCAGAGTGTTCCCATTCTTCAACAGGAGACTTGAACAGCTGAACAGGTTTGCTATCAAAACAAACCACTCTTGTTAACAAACCAAAAACATGAAACGAAACCGATAAAGAACAGTTTTCACAGTTAACAATAAATAAAAGTGTAGTAAGTGTTGAAGTAGGGCATGTAGTTTAAAAACTACATGAGTATTTGACATAGGTCATCTCTTAAAGGCTCTCCAAGGGTCCCTGCCATTACTTATTGTGGTCATGACTGTTTGATTGTTAGCTGTTCCTGGTGGATTTATAGGCCTGTGACCATTGCTTCTACCAGCATATAAAACGGCATCCCCGTGATTCTGGGCCAGTTTGAACCCCATTTCCCACTGATCCAAATGTACCTGTACCCATATTACCACTCATGGAATTATT